GCTTAAGCACCTGCCTGGCAAGCTCAAGGTCCTGAGTTTGATCCTCAGTACAGCAAAACAAAGAAAAAGATAAAATGGCACTATAATACAAAATGCTATTGGTTTGATTTTCTTTCCCATATTAAGACCTCTGTGCCATTGTGCCCTGAGTGAGCCTTTTGTAGAAGGACAGTGTCCATTGCCATGGCTGAAATGGAACAGATGTTTGGGGGAAGAATACCAGGAGGGCAGAGTTCGGAGAAATGACAATGAATATTACTGAGGTCTTGGCGTAGCTCCAACCTCCTAAGCAAATAGACTGCACACGGCTTAAATAAAAGAGACCACTGGCTTGAGTTTAAGGCTCCAGGAGGATCAAAGCCCTCTGATGGAAGCTGAAATTTCCTGGGGGTTGAGTTGAAGAACTTCTCTCAGTGGCCTGTTTTTATTTGGTTTTCAAACAAAGGAAGGGGATACTGAGGCAAGGCCAAAACTGAGCAGATCCTTGGGAGTTAGATCAAAGACTTCACCAATTAGTAAATTTTGCCAATTAGGAGAACTGTCTTATCTCTAAGGCTGGCAGCTTTATTGCCCTGAAATAGGGGTGTCAGCAGCCTGCATCTAGTCGTTGGCCACCTCAGCTGTGGTTACCTTGACCTCAGAGGCTATTATGTATATGCTCTTTTCCAATGCAGCCAGAGGTCCCCTGTGTTCAACAGCTTAACCCTCTACTGCCCTGTCTCTAATGGACTATCAACATTTTCATGTGCACTTCAAAGTATTTTGGGCTGCAGGCCAGTTTATCACGTCTCCCTGTTCAGAACTCAGGGAGATACGTTTGTTACACTACAGTGACTACCTTGGCATTTATATTGTTTCATAACTACTAAATTCAGTAAGAAATGTATTATGCAGCTGATCTATGTCACACATGGTGGTGTACACCTGCACTTCTGCTGAGACAGGAGGATCATTACAAGTTCAAGACCAGCTTGGGCTGCAAAGTGAACTCAAGGCCAGCCTGAGCTGCATATCAAGACACTGTCTCAAAAAATAAAGGAAGGAGACAAAAACAATGTCATGCAAGGGCCAACGAGATAGCTCAGAGGACTAAGTGCCTGCTTAGGCAAGCGCGGGTATAGAGGGTTCCATCCCCAGGGGCTGACCCCACCCTGTGGTGAGCTGAGCTGGCCAGAAGACCCAGCGTGGCAGTGCACACCTAAAATCCCAGAGCTGGGGAGGCTGGAAACAGGAGGATCACTCCGAGTCTGAGCTGCATAGTGAGACCCTGTACCAAATAATTAAAAAACAAAACAAAAACAATGTCATGCAATCCATATAATATACCCCAAAATGTGAAGCATGGTTTTATCATGGATACAGAAATCCAGTAGTGTAGTCATCTCTGAAGGAATCCAGCCGCTGCATTCCTCAGCTGACTTGAGGCCACAGTGAGCCTCTTCCAAACCCCTTTGCTGTCACCCTTTCTAAGGACACAGAATCATGGGGCAAGGAGGCCCAGGAACCCCAGCTCTGCTCATAACTTCCTTGGCTCTCCACCCCTGCTCTCCTCGATGCCCACACCCTACACTTCTCAACCCTTGTCTCTAGCAGACCACATGACTCCTTTTCACTCACCTTTTCCTTCATGGTGCCCCTTATGCTCCTAATGCTACAAAAGACCTCACAGCTTGTATGAGAGATGCCACTCTGGTCCTCACACTGGTGTCCCTTTTCAGGTTTGCTTCAGATAAATCTGCTCTGCTTGTTGAGATCCTATCTTTGCTCTTTTTTCTAACAATCTTGAAAAGCTCTCTCTCCTCCTTTTAATTTTTCTAATTTTCAATAATTTTTCAGAGGACAGAAGTATGATGACTGGGGACCGTACGCGGGCAGTCGCAAGTAAGGACAAGGGGAGAAAAGAATACGCTTCCGACCAATGAAAATCCTGCTCTACATGAGGGCTTTTCAGCACCTCCAGATGAGTACTGTAGGTCTGCCCTTGGCCAGCCAAACACTCTAAACTGCATGAAATAGCCATGTGTTCACCTTTAATGTTGGTCTCCAGTTTTAACCACTTAACCAAGATTCTACATATGTATTAAATTATATAATATCTAGTAAATTGACATATTTTGCACTGAGTCAGTACATGATTTAAAAAAAAAAAAACCTGAATTTTCCAGTT